TCTGTCTATCTATCTATCTATCTATCTATCTATCTATCTATCTATCTATCTATATATTTGTCTATCTGTCTGTCTTCTGTCTATCTATCTATCTATCTATCTATATATCTGTCTATCTATCTGTCAATCAGTCTATCTGTCTATCTATCTATCTATCTATCTGTTTATCTATCTGTCTATCTATCTGTCTATCTATTTGTCTATCTGTCTGTCTTCTGTCTATCTATCTATCTATCTATCTATCTATCTATCTATCTGTCTATTTGTCTATCTGTCTGTCTTCTGTCTACTGTATTTATCTGTCTGTCTGTCTACCAGCAGTTTGTGGGTAGTAAGAAACATAAGAACAGGTAATGTCATACTGCTTTGCCATTGTGCTTCATTTTCTTGTTTTACAGTTTTATAAGAATATTATATTTTGCAAAGATAAAAGTGTGACTAATAGTGGGACTTTTATTTTGAAGTAAACGGTGGTGTCGTCGACACATTACGTCCGACCACGCAGTAAAAACATTGGAGGTTTCTGTTGATATATTTTAGTACTTCTTCAAACTTATTTTATTTAGTTGCCAAGCCAGTATTTCTGATTTCCGTTCAGAAATTATGCATGCTAACAATTTTATGATTTTTAATATTAATTAAATACAGATTTCATTAACAATTAGAGAACCTTTATTACCTAGACACAGAACGCAAGCTGTGTAGTTGGCACTGTCGAAATATGAAAGCCTCATTACAAGCGAGCTATCAAAAATATCACACTAAAATAATAAAACACAAAAGGATTCTTGGTGCGTTATTAACCTGATATTAAACAACACGGAAATGCAATATGAATTATATTAATTTTTTTACTTTATTTTAGCTTTACTTCAGTTAACGAAAATTATTTTTAATTGTTTTATTTTTAGTACCAAAACTGCCATTTGTTCTCGAGCAGCTTTGCTGCATTTGAACAAAAATGACTTCTATCCTCTTTAGGACCCCTCTTATGATGGCCTGTACCCGTCGAAACCTCGATGTCATTTTGGAGCTGCTGAATCACGGTGCTGACCCAGTGCTGCAGAACAAGGATGGATGGAACTCATTCCACATTGCATGCAGAGAAGGAGATCCAGCCATCATACACCACCTCCTACTGGCCAGACCCGAGGTCTGGAAGACAAAGAGCAAGACTGGCAGAACGCCCCTCCACACTGCTGGTATAGAAGCAAATTATTTTTTCCCCCAAAATTTCCCAGACTTGCATTTATGTATCTGCCTTTTTCTCACCCAAGCTATGCACGGCTGTGAGGATGCAGTGAAGATTTTGCTTCAAAGGTAACATATTTTGAGTATGCGTGTATAACACAATGCCTTCTTATTTTGCTCACACGGTTTGCATGTTAATTCAGTTGTAGCTATGAGCCTGATGGGAAGGACAGTTGTGGAGTCACACCATTTATGGATGCCATAAGGAATGGACACATAGCTATTGCTAAACTGCTTCTTGAGGATCACCAGGTAAGCTCATATTTGCATTATAATTCACATACAATGTTTTTCTTATACTAGATGTGAGCATGTCCATGTTTATCTGGTTTAGGCATCTCCCTCAGCTGTAGATATTCTCGGTGTGCAGCCCCTACACCAGGCCTCTGTAACTGCTCAGGAAGAAGCACTTTCTTTTCTCGTGCATAATCTTGGTATCGATATAAACTCAAGAGCCACAAAACTGGAGCTGACTGCATTACATTACGCTGCAAAGGTTGTATCTATTGCATTAAACATGAAGCACAGTTAAGATAAACACACTTCTTCTTTTAATCTGGCTTTGATCTCAATGCTCATTTTTCAGGAAGGTCACACAAGCACAATAAAAACACTGCTTGCCCTGGGCACTGATCTACATGCAAGAGACACAAAAGGAAGATCTGGTAGGATTACACTTTACAGTGTATTTCACTGAATGCCACCTTAGTGAGATGCCGTAATTGGGATCTTTTTATTAGAACACGATGTGTAAATATTTTTTTATGGTTTGCAGCTCTACATATGGCATGCATTGGGCAGCATGTGGACGCCGTTAGGATGCTGCTACAATTGGGACTCACAGATACTGAAGACAATACTAGCAAGACAGCAAGACAGTATGCCAAACCTCACATTAAAGAAGTGTTCGAGTCTTGAAATGTAATATCTGTGTCAAATGAATAAAACAGTGCTTTGAATGAATATTAAGCAAAAGTGGAGACACAAAGTTACAAAATAAATGCTTTTATGAAAGTCATGTGGTATAACTTATGAATTTGTGTCTTTTCATATGAAAAGCGCGACATGAAACTCTGAACAGGAACTTGGCTTCGCAGCTGTTTTGGTAATAGTTTGTACACATTTGTGGTCATTGTAGTAACTTGTAAACAAATCGGCGTTTTTGAATGACTCTTTTAAATGAATCGTTCTCATTTAAGTTCCTTTTACTAAATGAGTCTGAATGAACTGGATTATTTGTTTAATCGGAACAACACTGAATGGCGTTAAACACAAACTAAAGACACTGGGTGAATGGTTTATTTCATAACGCAAAGATGCTAAACTTTTCGCCACCTACTGGCGTAACTATGTAACCTATAGAAAGAGTCACTTTAGTCATTGTTTGTTTTCATCAGGGGTAAACCGTTAGAGAACATCCATATAAATTGATATATAATATATAAATTGAGCCATATATGTATTATCTTCTTAGCAACTTTTCGCCACCTACTGGCGTAACTATGTAACCTATAGAAAGAGTCACTTTAGTCATTGTTGTTTGTTTTCATCAGGGGTAAACCGTTAGAGAACATCCATATAAATTGATATATAATATATAAATTGAGCCATATATGTATTATCTTCTTAGCTTTACTGTTATTCTTTATAGAAATGAAAGTAACAAAATATATTGTAAGTACTGTGAACGTATTTAAAGATTCGAGTCATGAATCAAAATCCCCGCCACTTTATGCAGGTGAGCGGTTCTGTTCTGTTTGGTGATCAGGGGGCGGAGTATTCGCTCACTGTGATTGACAACACAGTCCTCCAATCGCAGCTTAGAACGCGCAAACTCGCACGCCCTGCCCACTTCAGCCACACCCACTGGTGGTGACGTGACAGCGCACTTCTTTCATTTCCAGCTTTGCAAGATCTCCATTTTCTTCGGTCTCTTCGCGTAGGAAAAGGGGATTAAAGACGAGGAAAAATGAATGAAGAATACGACGTTATCGTGTTGGGAACCGGGCTGACGGTATCCAAATATTATTTAATCCAAATACATAAGCGTACATGATGTAAAAATCTTAAGAAAAACCAAAGCCAGAGGCTGTTTCGATCTTGCTAGGCGGTGCTGTTACTGTACCGCTCACATTGGGAGGCTAATTACTAACATGCTAATTTTAGCATCATGCTAATCAGCAGCCAGTCGAACTCTATCGGATATGCGAATTAGTAACACTGCTAGCGTTACCCTCAGGCTAATCGGCATTCATTCTAACTGTTCGGTTGTGCTAATCTGTCTCTATGCTAACTTTAGCATGTGTTATAGTTATCCATTGGCGCCCAGAGCCGCGGCTTCACAGGCCTCGGTTACAAATTTGACGGTGTTTTGTGTCTACACAAAACTAATTCATATTGCATTTCCGTGTTTAATATCAGGTTAATAACGCACCAAGAATCCTTTTGTGTTTTATTATTTTAGTGTGATCTTTTGATAGCTCGCTTGTAATGAGGCTTTCATGTTTTGACAGTGCCAACTACACAGCTTGCGTTCTGTGTCTAGGTAATAAATGTTCTCTAATTGTTAATGAAATCTTTTTTTAATTATTATTAAAAATCATAAAATTGTTAGCAACGTGCATATTTGATCTGCTTTTTAAAACGTAGTCCAGAGGCTTCCTCAATGTTAAGGTGTCTTTTTTGTCTTTTTTTTTTTTTTTACAAGAGGTTGTCTTAATAATTATATTAAGGGTGGAGGATTGTTTCATATGTATTTATTTAAAATTAAATGACACAATGAACCAGTTTTGAGATTACTTATTGCGTCAACATAGGTCAGTAAACAACCACACCCTCAAGTGAAACAGAAAACCTTCATTACATATTCCATTGCAATGCTTTATATGCCTGTTCATTCAGTCAGGAAGTTGTTTTATGCTTATAATACAGATAAAATGTCATAACCCCCATCCTCCAGGCTTTTACCTGCAAAATTACACAATTTATAGTATACATTATTGTAAATATTTACCTTTAAATTATGCATCGGGAAAACCCCATGATGAAAATTATTCCTGACTGCTACTGTACTTTGCATTTTAGTCAAAGTAATTTGTTTTGTGGGACAGGCCCTGAAAACCTTGCTTCCTTGCAGTCTGAACAGGATCAAGTGCACAATTTTGTTTATTTTTAGTTTTAAAATAAGAAAACATGCACCCACATCTTCGTAAACCTGCATGAGTAGTCTCATAAACCCTGCCAGACTCAAGTGTGCATTAAAACCAATGTTGCATTTTATTGATGGTGGATATCGATTATTCATATTTCATTGCTTTCACTAAAGGCTTGGGTTAGTGTAAAAGTGTTAAAGAAACCTATACAAAGTGGTTCCTTTAAAACAGGAAGTATGGGATGCAAACAGAGAACGTTTTTGTGCAGAGGTGAATTAGGCTATCAGTAGAGAACCAGAAAGGCGTTGGTCCGCTTTGTAGAGGAACCGAGACTGACGTCTTCTGTTTAGTTCTGCAAATCAGACAAGAGTGGCAAGCTCAGGGAGGCATGCAAGTGAAAAATGAGCAACAGTGTTCCTGTCTCAGCTGTTTTATGAGGAATTCCTCATAGTTCCTGAGGCCACGGTCTCCCTGAGCATAGTAAGGCTCTGGTATTACATGGCTTATTGCATAATCCCTTTAGCCTGAGCGGGACAGTGTAGTGACTGGAAGTTAGGAGCGTTGATGATGCTTAAACTCCCCTGAGTTTTAAAAGAACAAGGGTCTTGTCACGAGGGTCTTGCCCATTGTAAAACATGTAATGATAGGAATTCTTATACTGGCTTGTTATTCTTTTATTGTAAAACACTTGTTACTTTGTCACTGTCTCTTTACATTTTCTCTTTTTATTGGCAGCTATGCCATCTCGTATTGTGTAGACGTCTTTCTCCACATAATGTGATGAATCCTCTACAGTGGATTGATGGGAAAAGGCGACAAACAAAAGAAACATCAAATAGTGGATGATTGAGCTTTCACTTGCGGAAGAGAGGGAGAAGTGTTTTTCTGGAGTGTGATGATTTCTATCGCTGATAGTCATCTGAAGCCAAAATGCTGGATCCCAGCAGGTGTTTAACGCCATGAAAGAGGGAGGCAAATGTCAGGAGCATTTCTTAGGGCCTTTCATGTGACTGCAGCCTGATTCTTTATTAAGGAGAAGCAGGTGGTGATCAGCCGTGTGGATCTGCTGTACACTTTACAGCGAATGTTAACGTTTAACCCTTATTGCTGCTAAAAAAGATCTTTGGATTTAGTACGTAGTCATTTTGTTTCTAGATTTTTCCTTGAGTTATAAATGAACTCATCCTTTGAGCTGAGAGCAGCTGAGTCATGGACATTTGAGGTGAGGACATTGATTATGTGGGCATGACAAATTGGCTTTTGATGTGTAAAACAGCATTTTTGTTTTCCTCCAAGACCAAAAATGTTGGTAACCACCACCTTGGCATGAGCTGATCTGGTGACGTCTGAATTAAGTTGTTTCTATAGTCATGAGGGGTTCGTTTGGGCGTACTTTTTCCACAAAACAGTTTTTGAATTAATAATTGCACAAACATTTTCTGCTTGTAGTAATACAGTGCCACATATTCAGCAGCGTTGATCAGCTGAGAAGTAGGTCTTATGTTGGTATCCCATCCTGACCTGTTCTAGCTTAACAGTGCGATGCAAAGCAGGCGTTGTCTTGTTTAGATATATTCTTACATATTTGAAATGCTAAGGACTTGGCTCATCTCCACTCACATGGGTTTTGTTACTCTCGTACCTCATTTTAAAATTGCTAGAAAATGAGTTACTGTTGTTAATCGCTTTGAGAGTACATGCCATTGTGAACTGTGTCATTCGATGGCGTCTATTGCGTGTAAAGTCCACTCCTTCACATGGTCTGTAGGTGCGCTGTTTCTAATAATTTATTATGGCCTGTGAGAGGACAGTGTTTCAGCATTTCTTTAAAGGCACAATATTTTTTTTATTAAAATATCCAAAAACCACTAGAACAGTGTTATATATTTTGCTGACTTGTGTACTTACATTATCTCAAATGTTTCGAAGAATGTTTAAATCCAGAGAAATAAGCAATTTTAACTAGTGACACGGACCGTGTCCATAGTGTCATTGTGTCGCCTGCCAATGACGTCATAACCCCTCGATTTCTGGTTTTGTAGAAAACATGGAAACACCAAAGATGCTTTAATATGTTGTGTGTTTTAATAGACCGGTGACGGCTGCACAGAGTAGCATTATAACAGAACTTTCAAATGTATCTAGTGTGATAAAACAGCGCTGCTTTTTCCCTCCACATATGCACGACCGGAAGGAGCTGAAGCGGTCGACTGTGGCATAATAAAAGCTCCGCTGCTTACGAGCCGTGTGTCACGCTCGCTCAGCGGCCTCGTTTTGTGTCAATGGCTTTCAGCCTCACCCTGCTTCATTCTACTACGTTAATAAATCATTAGCTCATCCATGAACATGATTTTTGCCCGAGTCCCGTCAGATTGCATCGGCTGTGGGGATGAAGACGACAACTCCCGTGATTCCACACTCAGTCACGGCGTCATCAAACTACGCCTTTGTCTATTTGTTTATTTTGATTACACGCCCTCTAGTGGTGAAAATTACATATTGTGCCTTTAAACGTCCATGCTGGTAATTTTGTAGCATTTTTTTAAACAAAGCGATCTGTCATAAGCGTTGTAAAAATGTTATTTGACTTAAAGCTAAAATAAATGATAAATATCACAGAATAATAAGTACTAAAATTGCTAAAACAGAAATAAAACTAAAGAAGCTAAACATAAAAATACGTTACAAAAGCATATAACAAAATTACTAAATCTTAAACCAACAAAATGAAGCACGAAATGAAAATATAAAAATAAAAGCTAATACTATAAATATAATACTATATAATAACACTAGTTATGGCCCTTAAATGGGTACAATGTTCAGTTCATGTCTGCACTTCTGTATAGATCATACAGGTGTAACTAGGTTAAGTTGTTTTTGCTACAATGATAGACCGTTTATGATGAGTAAAGC